TTCATGGTGCTGATTGCAGTCATGGGAATCCGTGATCAGCAGTATGAGCAGCAAAGTACAGGCAAAAGTTAGGGGCAAAATTGGCTTAAAATAGCTACTGAACCTTAGAAATCTTCATGCAAGCGCAATTGTCAGCATGTCTAAGCCATGAAATACAAGTTGTCACAGGTTTTCTACTAAACTACATGTACATGGGGTCCACCCGATGTTCCCCAATACCTTTGTTCCCTAACATCCTTAGGGTTGGGGTTAGGGTTAGGGTTAGGGTACATAGGTATTGGGGAACATAGGTATGCACCCGCTACATGTACACTATCAGCATTATGAAAGTGGCACAAGATCAGGTTGGTTGAACCAGGAAACAATTTCTTAGAAGCGCCTTTGCACAATGATTTAGCAAGGACAAAGGGTCAATTTTGAAATACCAGTATGACCTAAATTGTCAACCCTTTTCAACTGATAACCCTATTTCAAACACTGTTATGTTAGCTAAATACTTCAGTTCATGCATGCATGTACAATGTACATGTGTACACGTACATGTATGTCAATGCTTTGGATAGCTCTTATCTACATGTAGCCCTGCTTGTCTCCATTGTGAACAAATGAATGTAGTATTAAAACGTGTGAACGGGTTTTTAAGTGTTGAAATTTATATTTATGTATGAGAGTCCCAAAACTTAAGGTATTGGGTTGCTGTGGTCCAACGGTTACGGTGTTCGACTCGTGTGCCGTGGTTACATGGGTTCGAATCCTGATGGGGAACATGGTGCTTGTGCACTTGGGCAAGGTACTTTACCATGATTGCCTCTCTCCACCCAGGTGTAGTATATGGGTACCTGGTAGGAAGAAATTCCTTCAATGCTTGAGCGCCGTAATGGCAGCCGTGCTAAGGCCAGAGTAATATTGGAGCACCAGGAGCGTCACTTCATGACGAACATGAGCGCTGTACAATACTTTACACAGTAAAATCTCATTCGGAGTTCCACCATTGCAATGTACTGGTACTTTAAGGAGAATGCTCAAAAGCGGTAAGGTCAAGGCTACCGGTATGAAGAAGCATTTTTCACAGGCCGATCAATTTTGTATACTGTACCTGCTTAAATTTTTATCCGAATCCTAAATAAGTAATTAGTCTTTTCTCCTAACATTGCCGACAGAGGCGTCTGATGAGTTGTCTGTGTTCCAATGCTTTCTCGCTGAGTGTAAAACTACACTGTGGAACAGACAACAGACTTACTATCACATATCAGAAAAGGCATAAAAAAAACACTTCTGCTTTCTATTACTTCTGCTTCAGAATTTTTCTTTTTTGGCAATTTTTTTGGTGTGTACAATCATATGGAGATGTCTGTGTGTAGTCAAGGTTAAAAGGTAGTAATTGATGTTTTCCGGGGGGGGGGGGGTCCCTCATTTTCCCGCCCAAAAAATAGGTAGGGTATCCAGAAGCAGAACTATTTTTTTTTTTTTTTTGGCCTAAGTAAAGGTTTGCATAGTGAAGGTAGCAATAATATGACAAATTTCTAATGAGTTTGAGGTTCTGAAAAGATCGGGGGATCCTTAATGTCACACGAATTTTAAAGAATGAACATCACAAACATTTTAAAGACACACAGGGCACTGTGGCACAGGAGGATTATGAACTGTTAATGTAAACAATCAAATTTAGTCTCTGTCATTATTCACAGTTCACAAAGTATGCATATAAAACATATTTTTATATGTTAAAATGTGTTGGATTTTGTTGATTTGAGTTGGAAACCCTTGTTCTTCCTTTAGTACCCTGTTAGTTGTATTATGCAGTCTTCACACTTTTGAGTAACTTTTTGATGCCATTCGGTTCGTAATCCTTGTAAAATTCCCGTAACAGACAGTTTACATGTCATCAAGGTTTTCCAAGATTTATACCAAATTATTCAGTCACACATGAAGACAAAAATATTACAGGCTTAAAGGGCTCATGTAATGTATGTTTTTGGTTTGACCCTAACCGTCCTAAATCCTTCAAAATCCTCTTTGACAAAGTGGAGGAATTTGGAGGATTGAGTTTACATGGCAAAAGTGCGTTACTGTTTTATAAGATGCACTTTGTCAAGGTCTTGGACCAGACCTTGCATTGTTTTTGCTCAGCCATGCATAAATATAGGCCTAGTTTATGCTTGAAATCCACCGTACTGCTCCAGGATGTCACTGGTCAAGGCCTCAACCTATTGACACTCACTGTCGCAGAATTTTGCAGGATTCAGGCAGTGGTCATTACCCCTCCATGGACCATTTTCAAGAAATAATGGAGGAATTTGCAGGATTGAGGCTATGCAATTTTTCCATTTGGCCAATTGGAGGATTTTGCAGGATTGAGGCTACATCCTAGCAAAAAGGCCTAGGGAGTTAGGGTTAATGTAGTCCTTGGAAATGCACCTTTGTACCCTATTTAACCTTATTTTCTATTTTCATTGTGCCATTTTAGGGTATTTTGGTGCCTTTTTGTTTTTTATGCTAATGAGAATCTGCATATTCATGAGTGTGATGTTATTTCAGGCAGGAACCTCAATGTTACAGCTATTTCAGCACCAAAGGTTGCCAGTATTTTGATATTTTGCTGTCGTAACTTTTCTTTTCTTTGGTGATTCGTTGTTTCAGTTCATGACAGTAAGCAAATAAGCAACATCTCTCACCAATGTTTTCAGTGGGCATATTTTGGTTTCACAATTTGAACAGAAAACCCCTAAGCTGAACAGTGTCTTCCTGAAATGGCATCACAGCAACACTAGCACTCTCATTTTTCACCATCATTGTGTCAACCCTTGCACGTGCTCCGCCGAATAAAAAAATGAACTTCTAACGGAACTTTTCAATGATACATCTGCCTTCTTTCATTGGTTTCACCTTGCCAGCTTGACGACAGCTTGCCAGAAAGAATAATTTCACAGGGAGTTTAGTCCCATTACTGTCTTTAAACCAAGTATGCTTTTCAACAATAATTGCGTCAGTTACTTTTTGGATAGCTGCAAATGATGGACTGTACCGGTACGTTTAAGTTATTTCTTGGGCTAAACAGCTGTTCAATTAATGACATACATATTTTTTTGGCCACAAATAGTGCAGTTTATGTGTGCGTAAAACCAAACATTTGCCTGCAGATGCCAAATGCTAATCAGAGTGGCCTTTTTATATGAAAAAGACATCAACAGATGGTGAACATGCAATTTGAAAAATCCGTAAGCAGCTATGCATGTTCAGTATGTACAATTACATACTAATAGTATTACTATTCAAAAAATGGAATTTACATACATGTATACGTGTAATTTACATAGTATGGTACAGAAGTTGTATGCGTGTCCAAATTAACATTCTGGCAAGTTGTATTTAGGCAACAGACAAGAATACCAGTAACAATCTGTAGGTTTTTAGTTTGAAATCAGTAAAACAACATATTTGCAATGGGGAAAAGATGTAGTTGTGGGAAAACAGTCATCTGTTTTAATGTGAAATGGCAAGCACTACATTTCGTGGTTGGAAAATGTCTTTTGTTTGACACATTTGTTTGCCCAACCTTAAACCAGTTGGCGTCGGAGGCCGTGTTAACACACTAGCTGTTTTTATACACTGCTGACGGGTTAAAACCTCAAGCATGCCTCGACTCGCCTCCAAGTGACGTCTACACACGCTTATCCCGCGTGTCTTTTGTACAAACACACTGCGTGTCTTTTGTACAAACAACACACAAAGTCTGTGAAGTCTGTGGAGTCAGAACGTGCGTTGATCTTGAATTGGCCGGTGTGCACGGTCTATTGTTCTACAATTTACGCTCTGTTTTACACCCAGGAGTGTTGAAAAATATGAGGTTTCGGCAAGAAATATCGTACAAATACTGTTCAAATGACTCTTGCAAATCAGTATTTGTGGTGTTTGGCTGTATATCAGAAGTTGGCTAATATTTTGCCTTTTTTCCGAAAATGGAAATTTTCGGCAAAAATAATGCCGGAGCGAACTGGTTAAAATAGTACATGTACCGGTACATGTGAATCTCCAACACATTTCATGGAAACATTGAAGTCCTCTACCAAGAAATGCATCATCTTTTTGAATTGTAACTATGTTCCACCTCAGAAGATATTTGATCATGCTGAAACAATGCTTCACGGACAGCAAAGAATGTAGTACGTGTAGTAGTCCCTTGTCAATTGCAATGATGCCCAAAGGTCGTTAAAACATAAGTTATGCGACTCAGTCGTTAGAAGATAAGAGGAGCATACATTTACGATTAATTAGGTTTTTGTGCAATAATGCTACCAAAACCGAAAGGTTTCTTGAGGTGCATCGATCCATCTGTAATTAAGCCAATCTTTGAAAAGCTGTCTTCTCAGAACAATGCATTTGAGTTGTTCCCCCCCCCCCCCCACAAAAAAAAGAAAAAATAATACATGTTTGTAAGTTGTCCAGATGTAAATCAATGTGGCAGTGTACTCTACAACTAATGATAATGTCAGTAATGGGACTATTGTATGCTAATATGACCTATGACCGAGCTCTCCCATAGTTAGGCTGCATCCGAATCAGCTGTCCAGAGCTAGATCTAGGTCTGCCCCCATTGAAAATACGCGGGGACGCGCTGACAATAGACGTAGCCGTAGCTCTGGAAGCCCATTTTGGACACGGCCTTACTCTCTGTTGTACCACATGTGGAAGTGGAACATAACATAATAGTCACCAGTACATATTCTGTACATTATTCTGTCATTATAACCATTTCATAGTATCCACTTATTTCACAGTATCCACTCAAATCTTACTTAACATAATAGTCACGAGTACATATTCTGTACATTATTCTGTCATTATAACCATTTCACAGTATCCACTTATTTCACAGTATCCACTCAAATCTTACTTAACATAATAGTCACCAGTACATATTCTGTACATTATTCTGTCATTATAACCATTTCACAGTATCCACTGTTTTTTTGTTTTCCTCTGGTTTCCCTTGTAAACAGGAGAAGTACTGGAACATGGTGGAGCAGGAGATGCCAGAATGGAAGGAGGAAGTGAAGAAAGCAAAGAAGGACCGGAGTAATCCTCCAAGTGCTAGGTGACAGGTTGCCAGAAAGAAGTCGCACATCCAACAAATGAAGCATTGTGCCTTGTGATAATCCACACAGGAGTTTTGTCACTGGAGGGCAACTGATGCCTCCTGCCGCAAAATAAAAAAACAGGATGGAACTGTCTCAGCACTTGGACACCGTCTTCTGAGAAGATCAGGAAAAAGAAGTTACCTTTCCTTGGCTTGTTAATACGAAATTGGAGTAGTACCCCAAGCACCAGGGTTGGACCTCTCAGGAAAAACAGATTCTTAGCATCGCACCAAAGAGTGTTCAGGGTTCTGCTGGCCTGTACCTGTTGGCAGAAACATTGAGGTTGACATTCCCTCTATTATTTAAGGGACTGTGATGAGGTTCGGGATAAGCTGGTCATTTTTTGCGAAGTACCACTGTTGGAGTCATATTTGTATGGAGCCAAGGGAGTACAAGACAGCTAAGCTAGTGGGACCTGACTTGAACATCCATCTAAAAAGGATCCTTGTTGAGCAACTTTGAAAGTGAAACCACTGAAAAGATCCAAAAGATACTCTTATTAGATTTAATCCATAAGCCAAGAGGAATACTGATTGGTGGATGAAGACAGATTCTCGTGCATGGTTTGAAGTCACCCGAAATTGACCGCTCCATTCGGATCCTCCTCTGAAGCTAGATGACTGATTCTAGATTTAGATTCTACATTCCTTTACCTATACCCAAAAAAGCACCAGAGAGGCTGTGTTAGTGCCAGCTCTGCAGATGTGTCTAGTCAACAGGCAAGAGGACCAGGGTTTGTCCTAAAGATGCCAAAAAGTTCAACCAGGAAAAGTTGTCCAAAGATGTCAGCATTCCTGTGCGGGAATGTTTCAACTCTGAATTTTGGGAAAATTAACCGGAAAGGTGTTTCAGTAGACTTGGATACATATTCTCACCGGAAATACCGTAGACTCGGACATTAGTGTTTCTTCTAAATTGGACAGTTTTCTTGTTTGAATGGTTTTAAAGCCCTAGAGATGAGACTAATATTCTCCTTAGGTATCTCTTTGTACACATACTTGTCACAACTATCAGCAGTGAAGCTCCTATTCCACAAGATTTGCCATCAAGTCTGAAATGTGAGTCAGAAAGAGCAGTTGTGACTGTTCGCACTAGCACCTAGAGCTTTTACAGACTTGCCAAAGACCAAGGCATATGCAGCCTTCCCTAATGACTTAGATGGTCCAGGAACACTACAATAATTCTAAACCAACCGTAAATTAAGGCAGTCTGATACATGTACTTTCTAGGGTTATTGAACTGCAACGATCCAGGATTTCTGCCACATATGGGTGTACAAGCATTACATTCACCGTGTGGACTTCCGAACAAAAGATGTCCACATAAACTAGGTACCTGCAGCAGTGACGTTGTGCGGACTTGCCCACGTCCACACACAACGTTTCCCCCTCTCTGGAAAACAGGTCGAGAGGCATTTTGGGGTTAGGTTTATCTAATAAATAAAGAGAAACACTGAAGGGAATCATAGAAAAAAATTGGGTTGAAAGAGTTTTCACAGTTTGAGTGAAATGAGTTTTTTTCACTGGTTTTTCTTTACTCCACAAAAACAAAGGAATGTCCACATTTAACATAAAGAAGTGTGTGATTTTGAAAGTCAGAACGTCAATGTAATTATTATTTCTACTGCTTCCCCCAGAAAGATATTCTTTGATAGATTTTATCACCCATTCGATAAATTCATTAGCATCAGCATGCTTGTCGTGCTGCCTATTCTAATATGTGCATTTTATACTTTATGAGGCTTTGCCTCACCAGGCTTCGTGGGCGATCCACTTGTGACTTGAGAAGTACACACACGTTTACACTGTACACATCTTTGCGCTTTGTGGGGTGATGGGGGAATTCAAAGTCCATGCATTTGAATGTGAAATATCAAAGGTCCCATTGTTTGTTGAGTATGAGAAGAAAAATCATTATGAAATGTCAGACAGCAGAGTGATTCTTATCTAGCTGTGGATAATATCCTTGAATTTCAAATGGCCACCCATCTTTGTCAGGAGCTTTTGTTGGGTGAAAACAGTGGCGGTCCAGGATCCATTGAGGTGGATTTCTTTTTGTCTCTGTCTCGCTCTGCATTCATTGATTTGTGTATATATATTAACCCTAACCCCCTAAGGGTTCCACAGGACTACCCTGCTAAATCCAACAGGGTCCAACGGTACAATCCAACAGAATCCAACTGTGCCTAATTTTTAGTTGTCTGCTAGATCCAACAGAGTCCAACTTGGAGTAATTTATAGTACCCAACAGAATCTGACTCTGAATATGTACGTGTACGTTTGGTTTATGGGTTTATGATATAGTTGGATCCTGATGTACATGTAAAACTACCTCAAATGCTATATGATGTTATATTATCCTAAACGGTTATTCATGCCTCCGATCCCCCACGAAAAAAAAAAAACATAAAACCTAGCCTCGAATTTGCGTTGGACAGTTGGGGGGGGGGGGGGGTTGCATACCTATGTTCCCCAATACCTATGTTCCCTAATACCAATGTTCCCCAATACCAATGTTCCTCAATACCTATGTTCCCCAACCCTAACCCTTACCCTAACCCTAAGGATTTTGGGGAACGTAGGTATTGGGAAACATCGGGTAGAACCCGTTTGGAAAGGTAAGAAAGTGAAGCAAAATCTTAAGCAGACATGCACTCATACAGTTTGAACCTGGGGCCGAATTTGGTGTTTGGTTGAGTTTGCTTCGTGCGACGAAATAAAGGGATAGGAACTAAAACGTTTTGTAACATCCTGCTCGAGATTTTCAGTGCAGTTGTTCGTAAGTGTAATTTTATTTTAATAAGATGCAAATTGGAATGTGTGTCATTTGAATAATTACGTGAGTAAACTGTTCTGTTGCAAATTGCTTCTGCGAATTTGTGCATCCCTGGTTGCCAAAAGTAGATCACCCGTGAAATTACGTACTTCTCATTTGTGGAATCTGTTGTACACTTATTTCTCATAAGTATTGTTTGTCAAGTAGATCATGTGCTCTCGAATGACTCGAGCAATAGTGTTATTGGCAATAAATGGAATGATTTATTCGCTTGAACAGCATCGTGAAAGTGGACTTCTTTATTGCAGGCACTTTCGTTTTGTTGAAAGTCTTGGAAATAATAACTCGATCGCTTTTGACTTCATCTTTACCACACAAGCACAAAGGTATTTTACTTGTTTCCTTCTCAAGGGGTTTGTAACCATTAACCTGTGCTTATTTAGTCTAATTCGTTTTTGTTTTACCCTGTTGATGTAAAATAGCAATTCCTTTTAGAAAGAGAACCGAAACCAGTGTAAGGGTGTGTATGGTTTCCATTGATGTATCAATATGGTTGCATGTGAAATCGATGAACAGGAAAATAACAAAACTTGTCATTGCTTACTTGTCTGATTCATTTCTGGACTCGGTTCAGATACCGGGAACCCCCTGGTTAACTCTTTCGTGAAAAAAGGCCATGCAAACCTTTGTTGACATTGACAAACCCAATCAATTCATGTCGTGAGGGGTGTGAGTGAGCTAGGGTCGTCATACACCAGTCACAAGCAGACACCGTTCTGTTCGCCAAATTTATTTCAAGTGTCAAAGCGATTATTGAGCCTTATTTACTGGAAATGGGAAGAACTTTGGAACTTGGCTGAAAAAGGGGACACATTGTTGCCTAATTTATGGGTTGACTATTTTAAAGGCTCATGAATTTTTTTTTTTTCAAAGCAGTTCTTGAAAATGCATTTGTGTCTTACTTAACCTTATTTTGAATTTTTATTTTGCCATTTCTCAGGGGTGTTTTGGGTTTTTTATGCTAATGTAGTTTCCATATTCATGAGCAAAAGTGTGATGTCAGTTCAGGCATTAACCTCAATGTTACAAATATCTCAGCAGCAAATTGTCAGAATTTTGGATATTTTTGGCTGTAATTTTTTTGTTCTTCGGTGATTCGTTGTGTCAGTACATGGCAGTAAGCCAATGAGCAAACTTTTGTCATCCACGTTTTCACTGAGCACATTTTTGTACGGAAGTGTATTTTACGGAAGCGTATTTAGGATATGACAGATTTTTTTTTAGGCCCACTACTTCGCCCGGGCGGATTACTATTTCGCCCGGGTGGATTACTATTTCGCCCGGGCGGATTACTATTTCGCCCGGGCGAATTATTATTTCGCCCGGGCGGATTACTAATTCGCCCGGGCGAAATACTATGTCGCCCAGGCGGATTACTATTTCGCCCGGGCGGATTGCTAATTCGCCCGGGCGAATTTCGCCCGGACGGATTACTAATTGGCCCGGGCGAATTAGTAGTCTGCCCAGCCGGGAGAAATAGTAATCTGCCCTGGCGAATTAGTAGTTTGCCCGGGCGAATTAGTAATCCGCCCGTGCGGAAAAGTAATCCGCCCGGGCGGTATAGTAATCCACCCGGGCGAAATGATAATCCGCTCGGGCGAAATACTAATCCGCCCGGGGCGAAATAGTAATCCGCCCGGGCGAAATAGTAATCCGCCCTTGCGAAGTAGTGGGCCTAAAAAAAAAAATCGGTCATATCCTAAATACGCTTCCGTATTTTTGGCTACACAATTTGAACAGAAAACCCCTAAACTGAACAGTGTCTTCCTGAAATGACATCACAGCAATAGCGCCCTCGGTTGTCCGGAAAAGCATGGACATTTTTGTATGTATATAGAAGTGCACTTTCAATTAAATTAACCAAAATGATTTCAAATAGTTTTCATACATTTGATAGGAGAAGAAAGTTCTACGAAACATGTCCCTACGACAACTTTGTTTCATGAGCCCTTTAAGGCACACTTGGGGCCCCTATAGTTCGCCGACAATATAAGCTTGAGGGCAGTGGATAAACTTCGCTTTTCCTAGTTTCTATCAATTAGGCTGAGTCTCCGTTAAAACGTCTGATATATCTCAGCATGCAGATTTATGCGATCCCACACCTCAGCAAATAGGGGTCGATTTTACTAAATCTTGACGTCATTTCATTCCCAAATCAGGACTAAATGTTTGATTGGTCAATTCGAATGCAGTGTTTTGTAATACAACAACGGCAGGGCGCGTATCGCGTAACATAATACAGAGCGCGTGATAACAGCCTTTGTTGCTGTGTCTAGATTTGTTTTATCCAATGTCTATGACGCGACAACGGGTGACATAAATGACCGAAGACCCAATATAGAAAGCGCCCGTTGATTGGTCAAAATCTACAGGTCAAGAGGCGTCAATCTGCTCAAATATCATAGAACCATCAGTATAGGATACTTTCAAAATATGTTACTTGGTTCTCGGTATTGCAACAAAATGTTCAATTGTTCACGGTTCAATGTGCGAGTAGAGTCAGCAAACACAATGGCAATATGTGCATGTCTGGCTGGGTGTTTTTTTTATTAAAATGAAAATTATGTCAATGTAGATATGATATGATTGATGTGTTGCAGGTGATATCGACATGTTTTTTTATTTACCCGTTTTATACGTTTTTTCCCACCACAGCCTAATGTTAGTACAACAACACAGGTTGAGTAAATAAAAAAACAACCGAAATGTCGGAACCATTGTTATAGTGAAGCCTTCTGCATGTAGCGCTTTCAAAATCTAGGATATGAAAGCCCAATTCAATAGCTTTCAAATCACTCATGTACTTTTCAAGTTACGGAATTTTAAACACAACCACCGTTTTAAAGTTCTGTCCACGGATCACAAAAAAGGAAGTGTTTTTCCAGCAAAACGAAAACAAATCACATAGAGATCTGTGTGAATTGTTTTCGGTTTGCTGAAAGAACGCACACCTTTTGTGTGATCCGTGGACAGAACTTTGAAATGGTGGTTTGAAAACTTCAAAAGTACGTAAGTGATTTTAATTATTCTTGTACTAAAAGAAAGCTTATGAATTGGGCTTTCATATCCTAGATTTTGAAAGTGCTACATGCAGAACTTCAATAAAAGAATAGTCCCGACATTTGGGTTTCGTGTTTTTTGACTCGCCCTGTACTAGGTAAGCCTAGTATTGCTGGCCTCAGAGTGCACAAAATTCTATTCAC